CTCCAATGCTGGCTGTATCCCTGAACACACAGAGATCTATGGGATTAAAGGCGTGCGCCACCACCACCACACTCTGTCTATGGCTCTAATAGCTCTGACCCCCGGGCAACTTTATTTATTAACATACAATCAAAATCACATTTCAGTACAATTAGAATAGCACCACATCATGGCATGCTCTGACTTTCAAAAAGAGGTTTATTCATTTACTTATCTCTATGTGTACATATATATTTGTCTGTGTGAGAATGTGTTCACCATGTTTGTGCAGGTGCCTGTGGAAGCCAGAGGGCATGAGATCCCCTGGAACTTGAGTTACAAGTGGTTGTGTGTCACCTGAGGTGGTTGATGCAAACCAAAGTGGTAAACACTCTCAGTTGCTGAGTTTTCTTTCCCACCCCAATATTCCCTAATTTTAAAAGTAGAAAAAAATAATCTGTTAATTCTGCATCTATAGGTAATTTATTGTGATTTTCCCTCAACTGCTTCATGTTGGATTATTTTTTTTAATTTATGTTATACAAAAACTTGTAGGAGTTCTTTTAAGAAACATATGTAAGGATAAAACTGTAAGCATCCAGTGATATTTCTCAGCATAGCCACTATTAAATTGTTTATAACTACAATGATAAATTCACCTTAAATCTTTCCTTAATAATTTTCTTACAAATGATATAGTATGTCCTTAATATTATGAAAATTTGGCTATATAGAAAATTAATGAATGTACAAAGCTTCTATGGTGTCGCCACACAGAAATAGCTAAATTTTGGTGCTATCCCATCATGATTTACTATTTTCAGATAGTTCGTACTAGTTTATGGTTTTCAAAATGGATTTTTACTTTAACTATGTTCTAAGAATCCTTGCCTTTTAACATATACATTTGTTTAATTCATTTATACTTATTGCAATTTTTATGTACTAAGATATCTATCAATCTGTCTAAAACATATTTTGTAAGTTTCGTTGCCCTTAATTATTTTCTTTTTCTTCTTTTCTTACCTTATTATTTATTTTCTTGATGTTTTTAAAGACAGAATTTTACTATATTGCCAATGCTGGCCTTGAAGTTCTAATTTTCCTACCTTAACCCTTTGTTGCTGGCATTAGAAGTGTGTATTACCTCACTTGGTATTTCTGCCCCTTCTTTTTTCAATTTTTGTATATTTTATAATTTGAGGTCAGACTATATCCAGTCTATTCTTTAAACAAAGTACTATATAAAATATTTTTTGTGATTCTAATACAAGGAAGTCCAATGTTTTATGATTTTGCTCCATTTTAATGTAAATAAATCAAATTAAGTCATTAGAATACATTTTTAGAGTGAATCACTGTGTCAAAATATATGAACTCTCTTCAGACGTTTGATGTATGTTATGTTATTTTCTTAAAATTTTGTCTTAGTTACTACTTTTTAGTGGTATAGGGAAATTCAATCATTCTGTTAATTTTAGCACTGAGTTTTACTAACTTTAATTCTATAAAATTTTATTCATATATATATATATATATAAGCACTTTTAACTTGGCATTTTGTATGTCTATATGACGAAAGTATACATGTGCAATAGGTATATGTATGATATGTGTGTTATTGTATGTGCGTGCATGCAAGCAGGTATGCGGCATGCAGGTACACATACTTGAGGCAGCAAGAGGTGTATACCAGGTACCTTCTTCAGTTGTTCTCTAGCTCACATTTTGAGACAGATGCTTTCACTGCACCTACAGCTTACTGATTCAGCTAAACTGTCAAGTTCCAAGAATGTGCCTACTCTGTGTGCTGGGGTTACAAGCATGTCAGTGTCCCAAGCATCCATATAGATGCTGTGAGACGAACCAAGGTTATCATGTTTGTACTGCAAAACACTTTCCCAACTAAGCCATCTTCCCAGCCTTGGTATTTCTAATTTACAATTATTTGGTATTTATTCTTTCATCTAAATTTCCAACCATGCCTACCAAGTATGCACCTATGGTGATTATACAGTTATTCACAACTTTAGCAGTGAATTCTTTAGAACTGTGCCTACAACCAATTTCAGACTTCTACCCAATTCATATTTTGGCTTTAGAATTTCTTTGTAATTTTTATGTAAGAGAGAAAAAAATCTCTGTTTCATTTTCATCTGTTGCAGGAGTTTTACATGATTATTTGCTTTGACTGTAAGTTTTATTTTAAAGTGGTTTAATTTTTATATTTGAACATTGAACTCATGTGAGTTTATATTGACATATGAAGTGAGATTAGAATGCATATTTTTCCAGTGAAAATTTCATTACAGTAGTTCTTCCTGTTAAGTATTTTATGTCTTTAATTTCTTTCTTTATTTCTGTCTTTACACAGTAATTATTCAGTAGAGAGCTGTTCAGTTTCCATGAGTTTGTAGGCCTCCTGGTGTTTCTGTTGTTGAAATCCAGCTTTAATCCACAGTGGTCTCATACGATGTAGGGAGTTATTTCAGTTTTCTTGTTTCTGTTGAGACTTGCTTTGTGACCAGGTATGTGGTCAATTTTGAAGAAGGTTCCATGAGGTGCAGAGAAGAAGGCACATTCTGTTGTGTTTGAGTCAAAATGTTCTGTTAGGTCCTTTTGGTTAATTTTTATTTTTTAATTTAATTTTATTTTATTTTACAATACAATTCAGTTCTACATATCAGCCATGGATTCCCTTGTTCTCCCCCCTCCCGCCCCCCTCCCCTTCCTCCCAGCCAACCCCTCATTCCCACCTCCTCCAGGGCTAAGCTTCCTCCAAGGACTGAAATCAACCTGGTAGACTCAGTCCAGGCAGGTCCAGTCCCCTCCTCCCAGTCGGAGCCAAGCAACCCTGCATAAGCCCCAGGTTTCAAACAGCCAACTCATGCAATGAACAGGGAGAGGGTCGAGGGAAAGAGAGCTTTGGGGAGCAGGAGATCCCAGCTGCATCAAGAACAGAGAGGGAGAACAAGGAATAGGAGACCATGGTAAATGAAGACCACATGAGAATAGGAAGAAGCAAAGTGCTAGAGAGGCCCACAGAAATCCACAAAGATACCCCCACAATAGACTGCTGGCAATGGTTGGGAGACAGCCCGAACTGACCTACTCTGGTGATGGGATGGCCAAACACCCTAATTGTCATGCTAGAAACCCCATCCAATGACTGAGGGAACTAGATGCAGAGATCCATGGCTAGGCCCCAGGTGGAGCTCCGGGAGTCCAATTAGCAAGAAAGAGGAGGGTTTATATGAGCGAGAATTGTTGAGACCAAGGTTGGATAAAGCACAGGGATAAATAGCCAAATGAATGGAAACACATGAACTATGAACCAATGGCTGAGGAGCCCCCAACTGGATCAGGCCCTCTGAATGGTGAGACAGTCGATTGGCTTGATCTGTTTGGGTGCCATCCAGGCAGTGGGACCAGGTCCTTTTGGTTTATAATGCCTGTTAGCTCCAATATTTCTTTGTTTAGTTTTTGGATAGATGACCTGTCTGATGGTGAGAGTGGGGTATTGACATCTCCCACTATCACTGTGTGGGGATTGATGTGTGATTTAAGCTTTAGTGGTACTTCTTTTGCAAATAATGTGCATGGATATTTGCCTGCATGGGTGTCTGTGAATCACATACATGTCTGGTGCCCATGGAGGCCAGAAAAGGAAATTGGTTCCCCTAGGACTGGAATTACAGATAATTGAGAGCTCCCACGTGGGTGCTAGAAACTGAACCCAGGTCCGCTGGAAGAGCAGCCAGTGCTCTTTCATACTGAGCCATCTCTCCAGCCTGGATGGAAGGTATTTGCCAAATAACACTGCCTCCTTCATAGAGAAGGCAGCAAAGTCTCCAAAGGCTTTGTAAAAGGATTATGGAAATATCTTTTCATTTTAAGAAACAGAACAGTCTCACAAGGTGAGCAGCTCTCTGCAAACAAGACAAAGCCAAAGGGATTTGAAAGATACATGAAAGAGAACAACATCTAAAAAGAAAACGTTCACTGGGGGATTCTGTGGCCTTGCTCATGCAGCTGTACTTGCTGCCAGCATTACCTTGCTGTGGTGTGCAGCTGTTTGCCCTGTGAGGCTTGGCACGAGATCCTTTGAAAATATGTTAACTTCATGTATGAAAATAATTTGTTCCTATCTAGATTATTCTCTGTAAGATTTCAACTTGGTGTCAGGCAATTCACACCCATCTGTCCGTTTAATGAATTCATAGTGGAGGAAGAATTGGTGAGAAATAGGCCTATATTTGGGAACACTCTCTACATCAACTCTGTTTTAAATCATGAAATGGAGAGGAAGAATGAAGGTGGGATTGTTATGAGTAGTTTAAAATGAAGAAACAAATACAAGCTATGGAGGCAGATATTTGGCTCTAGAGTGAAAAGGGGAGGGGCCAAGCAGAGGCCATCAGTCTTTCCAGACTTTCCCTTCATCCCTCCAGACTTCTAGGTGTCCCACAGAAGCCAAATATTCCTTCACATCACTGCCAGGTAGAAACTGTGATGCCCCTGGAGACCACGACTGGGGGCTTGAAGCGAGACAGTGAGAATGCTTAATCATAAAGAGCAACGCTTACCGACCGTGAAGGAATCCCAAGAAATAATGAGCGTGCAACAGAGAAACCTGGCTTCTGTTTGGGTTTCTCAGACATCTGGAGGGGAAAGGCATTTGAGTTGTAATCCCAAAATGAATGAGCAGATTACTAAAACATTTGTAGTAGACAGTAGGACCTTGGTGTGAGAAAACAGTGCAGCTTATTTTTGTGACTTGGTGCTCAGCCACAGAAGGAGAGCAAACGTAATTGCATTTCTAATATCATCAAGAATGCTGGTTTCTGTCTGGGAAGAGAGGAAAATTCTTGTGTATGGTCTTAACATTATGAGTGTACTTAATGGCACTGACTTGAAGTGGTTAAACAAGTGGATATTATGTTGTCTGTGCATCACCACAATAATGAAGAATTATCCTCTGTCCTTCTGAATGAGCCCTCTCATATGAAAAGTGGAGACGTTCAGAGCCCAGTTCTCAGTGTGTCATTGTAAGTCTTAGAGGAAGTGCTTCGCACTGAGAGCAGAGTTACACTGTTATCTATGGCCTGGTGGTTACAGAAATGAAGCAGCTGAACATGAAGATGCTGGGGTGAAGATGCTGGGGTGAAGATGTTGGGGTGAAGATGATGGGTGAAGATGCTGGGGTGAAGATGCTGGGGTGAAGATGATGGGGTGAAGATGCTGGGTGAAGATGATGGGGTGAAGATGATGGGGTGAAGATGATGGGGTGAAGATGATGGGTGAAGATGCTGGGGTGAAGATGCTGGGTAAAGATGCTGGGGTGAAGATGCTGGGTGAAGATGATGGGTGAAGATGATGGGGTGAAGATGATGGGGTGAAGATGCTGGGTGAAGATGATGGGGTAAAGATGCTGGGGTGAAGATGATGGGGTGAAGATGATGGGGTGAAGATGATGGGGTGAAGATGCTGGGTGAAGATGCTGGGTGAAGATGCTGGGTGAAGATGGGGTGAAGATGCTGGAGTGAAGATGCTGGGGTGGAGATGCTGGGGTGGAGATGCTGGGGTGAAGATGCTGGGGTGAAGATGCTGGGGTGAAGATGCTGGGGTGGAGATGCTGGGGTGAAGATGTGGGGGTGAAGATGCTGGGGTGAAGATGCTGGGTGAAGATGCTGGGTGAAGATGCTGGGTGAAGATGCTGGGGTGAAGATGATGGGATGAAGATGCTGGGGTGAAGATGCTGGGTGAAGATGCTGGGGTGAAGATGCTGGGGTGAAGATGCTGGGGTGAAGATGATGGGGTGAAGATGCTAGGGTGAAGATGCTGGGTGAAGATGCTGGGGTGAAGATGCTGGGGTGAAGATGATGGGGTGAAGATCCTAGGGTGAAGATGCTGAGGTGAAGATGCTGAGGTGGAGATGCTGGGGTGGAGATGCTGGGGTGAAGATGCTGGGGTGAAGATGCTGGGTGAAGATGCTGAGGTGAAGATGATGGGGTGGAGATGTTGGGGTGAAGATGATGAGGTGAAGATGCTGAGGTGAAGATGATGGGAGAAGATGTGGGGGTGAAGATGTGGGGGTGGGCATGAAGACAGTGGGAAATAGCTTCTACCATTTGACATCATTGTAAAGCTGCATGACTTCCTTATCTCTGGATAGGATGTTTATTTTCAGTCTTCTTTCGTACAGATTAATCTCTGGAAGGTCCTTCCTCTGGGTGGACAGAGGAGTTACAGAAAGTTACCTCTTTTGTGGGAAAGAAAGAGAGCCTAGAGCATACCAGAGAGACTTGTTTTATGAGCCTTAAAAGAAAATAAAAACATTCAGAGTACCCAGACTCTGGGTTAAAATCTTTCAGTTACACACACTTCAGGGTTAAGTACAAAATTTCTGTCCTCAAAAGTTGTCTTATAATTAATTTTCCTAAAGGAGTTTTACTTGGCTTTCAGATTACTGTCTTACCTGACTCCAAAGAACGATCTGTTGATCTACACAGTGAGGATGAAACGGAAGGTTTCTCCCTGAGCTATACAATTTTTAGGCAAAAAAATTCATTTCTCTATTAAATATCTAAGTAGTCATTCATTCTTCATTAAATCACATCTGAAATTCTCAAGCTACGATGATCTTGTTAAGTAGTTTCGAAAATTTTAAAAGTAATTTCTTTTTGCATTTATTTTTCGTGTGTGTGTGTGTGTGTGTGTGTGTGTGTGTGTGTGTGTCTGTCTGTCTGTCTGTCTGTCTGTCTGTCTGTCTGTCGTCTGTCTGTGTGCCACAGCATGCATATGGAGATCAGAGGATAACTGGCAGAAGTCAGTTCTTTTGTTCAACCATAGGGGTTTAGGGAATCAAATTCACATCATTAGGCTTGGTGACAGGCACTTTACCTACTCAGTTACCTCACTAGCTTTTAATAAGTTTCTTTTTCAAAAAAAGAAATCAAGAGGAATAAATAGTGAAAACTTTGCATCTGTCTGCCTTCACATGATAAATTTATTGTGCATTGTTTAAGAAAAGTTTGTAGAAATGTAGGTCTTGGCACATCATGCACTAAAACCAAAATATCTAAGTGGTTACTGTACACATACTCATTGGCATTCTCTTATTAGAGTTCAAAAACGAATGTGTAGCAACCAGTAGGCCTACCCAGCTATGAATCACAATAACTTCCTGTGTGGCACCATAAACCCTGAGGCTACAATAGTGGTGCACATATCTTGGCAGAAATCAACAGCTCTCTACTTGGATAGAAGACCTGCTCAGCATTGGGAAACCACACCTGGTGCTGGAAACCAGCTAGGTAATAGGGACCAGAGAAATCGTAGATACTGGAGGAGAACTTAGAACTGACAGTTTACTAAACCAGCATAATTCCTAGCTGCATTCTGAAGTCAGCCCTGAGATTGTATGCATATAAAGTAAATACATGGATTGAACAGTTTTATTTATGTAAGTGTGTGTGTGTGTGTGCATGTGCATTAACAATGAAAGGAAAATAAGCCATGAATTTGAGTGGGGGTGCTTGGGAGGGCTGGAGAGAGGAAGAGAAAAAGGAGAAATCCTATAATGATCATTTCAAAACATTATTAATGCACAAATGCTTGTAAAATTTTCAAAGTTAAAGTTCATTAAAAAATAAAATTTTCTTACGCTGGATTCTAGGATGAGATCCTCAGACCTTACCTGTCAGTTCACACATGGCTGTAACAGCCAACATGCTGTCAATGATTCTTCCCTTTTGTTCAAAACCTCCATTGTCGCAGGCCACACCATGTTCTCAGGAGGAATACGGCTTGTCTGTGGCATATCTCATAACCCCAGCAACAACACTCAGGACATACATGATCATTAATATCACTCCCTCAATGTAGATGAGAGTAAGAAGTCCCGAAGAAGCCCTTTGCATCTGTGACTGGGTGAAGTATTCAATGACTGTGCTTTCACCTGTAGGGCACCAAGACAGGCGCCTGGAACAGCTGCTGATATCCAAAGCCCATGCAGAGGCTCAAGAGAGAAAGGCTCAGAATGGTATCTCAGGGGAGCCATGACAGCAGGGACCGAAGCCTTTTCCTAGATGTGGTTATCTTCACTGAGGACTAAAGCTGTACAGAGAGACGAGTGCAGCTCAGGAAGTCATTAGCGCTTGAAGTATAAGTTGAGTGAGCTCTCCCATCTGGCAGTGTGTCTTCACAGGTTTTGTCCTTATGTGCGTGTCTGTTAGAGCAGAGGGGAGAAAAGTTGGATCATTCTGCCTTGCTGGCATGGAGCGTTTCTGCTGTCAAGGCTTATTAAATCCCGCTTCGGGTTATTAGATTTGATTCACTGGGCTGGCATCTCAGCACGGGGGTCTCTGTAGTCATCCAGCTATGTCACATCACTTTGATGTGTACCTGGGCAAAAATGAAAGTTAAAAGCACATTTAGTCAGATCATTATAGTTCAGTAAGAGAGCCCCATATGAAAGTTAGAATATCTCAGCCATTAGTCAAAGCAGCAAATCAAGATGCCCTTACCTTCCTTTCTCCCTTCCATATCTCTCTC